CAGCACTACGGACCCCTTCCTCCATGCCAAGGTGAACCTGTTGCCCATTTCTTGACTACCATACTCTGCTTGAACTTAACTCCATTAAGAAAAAGGAAACCCAGCCCTCAGTGAGTGCCAACTATGCCCAGGCACCCTGATGCCTGCGGGTCCTCTTCCTCACCCCACTGCAGCCCAGGAAACTGGGGGCAGAGTGAAGCAGTGATTTGCTCTGGTCCCTGGGGCAGATTCTATTCCTAAAGTGGTTATAACCTCTGCCAGAACCTTGCCGCTCCTGCTGGGCAGGTGGAAAGCTGAATTCCACACCCCAGGGACAACAACCTAGCAGGTGTGGGCTGTGTGACTTCCAACACCTGTCTCCCTCTCGGGCTGCTCACGCTGGGATCCCAGCTGCCACGGGGTGAGGAAGCCCAGGCCATCCCAGCTGCCACGGGGTGAGGAAGCCCAGGCCACAGGAGGCGGCCCTGGGGAAGGCATTTCCATTGACAGCCCCAGGTATGGTCCTCCCTGGCCGCCCACCTGCGAGGTGAGGAGGGAGGGAGGGAGGGCTTTCTAGGCATCCAGGCCCCAGGCTTCAAGGAGCCTCAGCTGCTGCTTAGCTGCAGATCTACGGGGAAATCCACGAAGTCCCGGAGCCACTGCTGTGCAGTCATAGCGACAGTGGGGACAAGTGTGCCTAACACAGCAGGCAGCATGGCGTGGCGGAGCCAGGCCGGGGCGGCTGCACCAGATTCCACCTCTGTGAACTCAAGCGGGTCACTCGGCCTCTCTGGCCACAGCCTCCTTGTCTCTGCATTTGGGAGGAAATCAAAGGTCTCCGTTTCCTAGGGCTGTCGTGAGGATTAACGGAGATTTCCCATGAGAAATAATAAAAGTGAACACTAGCCGTAATACCAGCAAAGCAGCCAGCCAGATTCCATTCCCAATGAGACCTGCACTCACTGTCCCCACAGGTCCCCAAGATGCCCCGGAGCCACTCGACTGGACCGGACCTCCCCAGCCCGGAGAGCAGAGGCCGGGGAAGAGACGCCCGGGGGGCCTTGGTGGAGCCTCGGAGGCCTGGCTGGTCCAGTGGCCTTGGCCCCCTGTTCTCTGAGCTCACTTTGCCCGTGCTGTGGGAGCTCCCTCCAAAGGGAGTCTCTCTGCCCTGTGTCTCGGGTTTTCCAGCGCTGGGTTACTGCCAGCAGAAGCAGCCTGGGAAACGTGCCCTTCAGCAGGGAAGTTGACAGCTGGGATCCTCCATCGGAAACCCGACAGCGCATCCCCAGCCCATGCAGAGGCGAGGCTGGGAAGTCAGCTTGCGGGCGGGGCTCCCATCACCATTGCAAGCCCCTTCCCACAGAGACCTGGAACTAAACAGTCCCCACACCTTCTGAAGCACCCTCAGGTGTCCCCTAGATCTCGCTTTCTGCCTTTGTTTACCTTGCAAGTGTCTGTTACTGAGACTGCAAGACAGAGGGCTCTCTCCCAGTGAGGGCAAGGGCACACACTGTCGTGGCCACAGCAGACAGTGGGTTCCCAGGAAAGTCAGAAAAACTCCTATCCACCCTGGCACAATCCCACACAGGTACCTACACTCGCTGGACACACGGACAAGGAGGCTCACAGCAGTCTTGTCTGGAACCCTGGAAAACGGGAAGCCACTTGGATACACACCAATGGGAACACAGCCGTTCCCACGGGGCCACGCCTGCACAATAAGCTATGGCGCACACGCAGAAGTGAGAAAGTGAGAAGTGTTCACAGCCCCAGGGAGACGTCCTGCCTGTGAAATACGGGAGCAAAACAGCAAGAGCATCCTTACGGGGCAGTTACACAGCAACACCACTCACATCAGCCCCGGGGAGGAGAAGCCCACGTGGCCACTGGCAGATGACGGCAAAGGCACAGCGCAGCTGCTCCACACAAAGGAATAGTATCCAGCTTTGCAAAGAAAAGGGATCAGAGACGTCGGTGCGGTGACACAGGTCAGTCGCAAAAGGACAGAGACTGTCAGATTCCGCCTACAGGTAGTCAGATTTGAAGAGACGGGAAGAAGAATGGTGGTGCCAGGGGCTGGGAGGCAGGGGCTGGGAGTTGGTGCTCTGTGGGGTTGGTGCATCAGTGTGGGGAAAGAGAAAACTCAGGATGGTGGTGGAGGCGGCTGCACCACACCGGGAATGTGCTTCCGGCTGCTGAACAGAGTGCTTCAAAATGTATCCAGTGAATTTTGTGTGTGTGAGAGAGATCTTCCATTTGCTGGTTCACTCCCTAGATGGCCACAATGGCTGGGACTGGCCCAGGCCAAACGCAGGAGCCTGGAGCTTCCTCCAGGTCTCCCACATGGGTGCAGGGGCCCAAGCACTTGGGCCATCCTCTGCTGCCCTCCCAGGTGCATTAGCAGGGAGCTGGATCAGAAGTGGAGCAGCTGAGACTCGAACAGGCGCCCATGTGGGATGCCGGCACTGCAGGCAGTGGCTTTATCTGCAACAACACAATGCTAGCCCCTTCAAAAATGTTTAAAAGCAGGTTGTACATGGTAGCATCACGGATCCAAAGTTTAAAGTAGTTTTGTGTGTGTGTGTGTGTTAGCAAAGTTATGCAAATATGCACAGGAAACAGAAACACACGAGGAGGGGGATCGCTTCATGGCCTTTTGGCTAAGATCAAGTGTAGAAACACACAGGGGGTCTTGCTGAGGTCTAGCCCTGGGGGAGGAACATGGGTGTGACTGGCAGGGAGACCGCCAGGATGTCCCCCCACAAATTTCTGAAGCGGGTGATGGGCATACTCCACTCTACGAGATCGCCACACTTGAACTTGCTCTTGATCAACAGCAGCCCGAGGTCTGTCGGGCATGGGGGGCATCCGCTGCCCCGCACAATGGCTGCGGAGCCGGCCGGGCTTGGAGGTGCCCCTGGGACACATCTCCTCCTTTGCTGGCTGAGATAAGCAGCTCGGCTCCTCCCCAGCCCCCGCCCCTGGCAGAGCGCCAGGATTATTTTACATTAATTTAAGATCACTAATGAAGAATAATTAACAGCTTCAAGGGAGCCTGGCACACCCTGTGTTTAGAAGTGGTTAATTATGCATTGTCTGCCAAACACCCTTTGCATCCTCTTTACTTTGGGGGCTGCTGTTTTAAACAAGCCAATACAGCATCGGGCAACACGCCACGCGGCTCCGCGCGCAGTCCTTCCCCGGAGCGGCTGCGTGGAGGACGGCGGCCGTGTGAAAAGGCCCTACTGTGTGCAGTTCATGCAGCGCCTTCCTGGCAAGCTAAGGCCCTACTACGCGCACCGCACTAAGCACTAGTCCCCTCACAGCCCAGAGAGGCAGACTTAGCATCTTGCTGCCCCCATTTTGCAAGGGAGCGTTGGAGGCATGGCGGGAAACGACCTGGCTAAGCTCCCCGCCTGGGTGACCTGTGACCCCAGAGCTGGCGTCCTCACCCACCTGGCTGACATCAGCCCGCAGCACACGGCCTTCGCAGCTGGGCAGCCCGATGGAACCCCAGTTGCACCACCGCCCGGCTCTCTTCCCTGTGCTCCGTTCCTGCACTTGGAACATGAGATAATCATGTCCACACTTCCCGGGAGTGGTACACAGGTGGATGCCTGGGAGAGAGCCTCCCACACAGAGCCCGTGCTCAGCAACTTCCCCTCACCCACCCGCCTTCCTCCCCAGCCTCAGCCCCTGACACAGACCTGCCAGGCCCCGTCCAACCTCTCGAGTTCTGTCCCCGCTTGACCTCCACTTAACACTGCCCTTCCCAGTCTGGAAAAAATTCCACTCTACATCCAGGTCTCGAGTCAGACGCCTCCTCCTGCAGGAAGCCTTCCTTGATTTCTCCCATATGGCTTCTCTCATGCTGTTGGGACATTTGAGCCACTTCTGTTTGTTGCCCATTCTTAATTGTCTCGACTCATCCACGGGTCCTTTCCGTTGTGGGTTGGGAGCGCCCGAAGGACTGCATCCCATTTGTCTTTGGGCCACACTGGGGGCTTGAGGTTGAGCCAAGCCTCTCCCTCTTGAACCAAATGACCCCCAGAGTAGCCCCCCCCTCCACTGCTAAGTCCTGGTGCTGGACCCCAGCGCGGGTGCCCCTCAGCTTCCCAGCCTCTCACCGTCACCCTAAGACAGCCAGCCCTGCCTTTCCAGCCCTGTAGTTCCCCACAGCCTGGGGCACACATCCTCTCCCCCGGGCCCAGGAGACTCCGGGACTTCCCCACCTGGTATGTTACCTCCTCCGTGAAGCCCTCACACCCAGCCCTGCTCCTCTGTCAAGGCTCTGACCATGACTCCCGCCCATCCAGCTGAGCCATTGGCCCCTGCCCACCCTAGGACCCTGACATCTACAAACACTCAGCAGATTCCGATTTGGAACAAGAAAGACTTGTGTTCGAATCCCGTGGCCACCTTGGGCCCCTTGACCTGCAAGAGGGGCTGCACCACCTCTTCTACGGCAGGGGTGACAACGACAATCGGGGACACAGAGCATCCCCTGCCCCACGGCAAACATGGTAACTAAGCAGCCAGGAGCGCTTTCATGTGCCCAGCACACGCGCACATGGGGCGCCACACGGACCAGCTCCCGGGGACGGGGTGGAGCCGTAAAGCCTTGCCCACCACGCCTGGGGCTGAGGGCTTCCCGCTGCCGCACCCCTCCGATGGCCTGGCGCTAATCAGATGCAGGCCAGGCCTCTCTCCCTGGCACCGGCCCAGGAGCAGGGCCGACCTTGTTCTGCCTGCCGTGAGACCCTCTGGGCCCCCACCCCCACACTGGAAGAGAAAGGGGAGGCGCCCACACTTTCCCACAGCCTCGCATGCTAATGGCTGCGGGCTCCGCAGAGCGTGCAATCAGGACGCGTCTCCCCTCAGCCGTGTAGGAAGCACCACGGCAGGCGGCCACAGCGGAGGCCCCAGATGCCCTCCTGCTGGCCGACATGCCGGGCTGCCTGACCAAAGTGTGGGGGGCCCTGCACACACTCACGCACACTCACACACACTAAAATACCCCTGGACTCACACGCTCAGGTACACTCATACACACTCACACACTCCTACACACACTCAAATACCCCTGGACTCACACGCTCAGGTACATTCATACACACTCACACACTCCTACACACACTCAAATAGTCCCGGACTCACACGCTCAGGTACACTCATACACACTCACACACTCCTGCACACACTCAAATACTCCCGTACTCACACGCTCAGGTACACTCATACACACTCACACACTCCTACACACAAATACTCCCGGATTCACACGCTCAGGTACACTCACACACTCCTACACACACTCAAATACTCCCGTACTCACACGCTCAGGTACACTCATACACACTCACACACACTCCTATACACACTCAAATACTCCTGGATTCACACACTCAGGTACACTCATACACACTCACACACTCCTACACACACTCAAATAGTCCCAGACTCACATGCTCAGGTATACTCAGATACACTCAGACACACTCCTACACACAAATACTTCCAGACTCACATGCTCAGGTACACTCATACACACTCACACACACTCAAATACTCCCAGACTCACATGCTCAGGTACACTCAGACACACTCACACACACTCCTACACACACTCAAATACTCCCGGACTCACATGCTCAGGTACACACAGACACACTCACACACACTCCTACATACAAACACTCCTGGATTCACACACTCACACACTCATGCACACTCCCTCAAAGACTCACATATACACACACACACTCACACTCCCTCAGAGACTCATACACACACTCAATACTGCTACACATTCACGAACACACAGACTCCCATTCTTACACACACACACATGCACATACTCACATACTCGTCTCTCTCTCTCTCTCTCTCACACACACACACACACACGGCTTCCTCTCTGGGTGTTCATAGCCCAGGTCATCTCAGGGAGCAGTCCCTGAGTCCCACTAAGTGTCATCAGGGCCAGATTGCTAAACACGGGCAAACTGGGGCTCAGAGAGGGACAGCGACCTGCCCAGAGCCCGCCAGTGAGGAAAGGGACTTGGACTCCAGCCTCCCGCCCTCCTGACCAAGCATCTGCCACTCTGTCCTCCCACACCCATGCCTGGGACCTGTTGGCCGCAGCAGCCGGTGATGCCAAGGGACCACGTGGCGGCCGAGCCAGCCAGGCACCTCTGGACCTGTGCGGCCACCGTCCTGGGAGACCAGCCTACTAGGGAGCCAGGCCGCTCCGGGGCTGACCGTGCAGCAGGAGATCGCAACACAGCACGACACGTCTTTGCAGGAGCTCCCAGGCCGGGCTAGGAGGACGCGACGGTGCAGCGAGGTGGAGTTGCAAAGTAAACCGCGGTGAATGCCGCTGTTCCCGGCCCGTGGCAGAGCTCACGTGCACAGCTGAGGAAGCCCTGGCCCTGGGCAGGCTCAGGGTGGACGTCTCCCAGCGATTCCGGGCCCCAGGCCTCCCCAGAGGGTCTGCTTACCTTTTATAGGCCCCGTGCAGTGGCTGCAAGCATAGGAACTGCCAATAATCCAGGCAAAAGGCCTTGAACTTGAGCATTTTCACCTTTGGGTCTGCAGCCGAACCGCTGCAGTGTCTCCGTGGAGACGCAGAGAGGGGCTGGCAGTTCCAGCCCGCCCGGGCCCTGCCCCGGAGGCCCCCACTCACATGGGCTGGCCCTGCCCGGCGCGGCTTGTACAGTACACGCCTCCAATACAAAGAACAGCGAACACAAAAGCCCAGCAACTCTCGTCTGTGGCTCGCCCGGGCAGGCTCACGCTGCTGCTGTCTCTGGTGGCTGGTGCTTCTGGGGACTCCGCTGGGGGCCCCTGGAGCAAACGGAGGCAGCTCTGGCTGTGTGCAGTTGGGGGGGCTCCCGGAGCATCATCCTGGGGGGCCCTGGCTGCTTCAGTGCCTGACGGCCGCTCTGCAAAGCTGTTCTTCCAAGCAGGCCCCCAGGCTTCCTGCGGTCCGGCCAGCACCTGACCAGGCAACCGTCCACTGCCTGCTTGGCTGGAGACGCTGAGACTGGGGAAGACCCGCGGGGAGCAGGTAGGGAGGGGTCGGGGTGAGGGACAAACACTGGCCTCTGGTCACGGCTGGCGGAATCTGGGCTCAGCCCGAGTGGGGACACTCAACACGCAGCCACGTGGTGCTTGGGGTGGGGGCTGCTCCGCTCTGAAAGGCAGGAGGGAAAAAAGACGGACAGGGCCGCCCGGCGCCGTTGCCTGGGCGACGGGACACATTGATAAAATCTGAAATGGAAGCGCGATGACAGCCACTCATTGGCTGCCGGCGGAGACGCCTGTCGTGAGCGCTGATGAGGGCGGGCGGGAGGGGCGTGGCCGGGCCGAGGGGCTGTGGCTGGCCAGGGACAGTGTTGGGCTGGGAGTGGGGGCTTGAGGAGGGGGGTGGGGGACTCTGGGTGAAAGGGTGACTCCAGTGGTCACAAATCAGGAGCAAATCCGCTGGGCCCAGCCTCTGTCTGCCACTCCCCTTTCCTCCCGGCCTGGCCTCCACTTCCACTGTGACCACCCTACAGCCCACTCCCCACACAGCAGCCCCAGGGACCTGAACACAGCACTGACACTCCATACCCGACACATCAAGGCCAGGCCTGTGGCCAGGCCTCTCCAAGTCACCCTGGCCACTTGGCTTCCTCCGGTCCCCCAAGCCTCCCAGGAGCCAGAGGTCCCCCAGAAGGCCCCAATGCCTCCTCAGAGCCTCCTCTGGCTGCCAGCCCCAACCCCTCTCTCAGTGCACCACTCAGGTTTGTCCCCAGGACCCTGGAGCCTGCAGATAGATCCTGTTTAGTTGTCAGTCTCCTGGCTGACTCCCTATACCCCAACCACAAGCAGCGCCAGGGCTCTCCTGTGCCTGCCCAGTGCACACCAGGCACCCAGCTGTCCCTTGTTGAAGGAAGGAAGCATGGGCCCGGGACAGTGAATGGGGGACCTTTGAGCCCGAGGCTTCTGCTTCCCTGGGCCCCTTGCCTGCTCCGACCTCGCCATCCCCCACTGCCTGCAGATGTAGAAACAGAGGCTCAGAACAGACCCCACCCCCAGAGGTGCACGCAGAGCCCAGGAGCCACCAGCCTGCAGGGGCGACGTCCCAGGGACGTCAGCCTGGAGCAGGTGCCGCACGCCCCGAGTACAACTGCCCGGCTTGCAGGGGCTGGGCGGGGACCCAGGGGCCTGATCCTGCAACGTCACCTCCCCCAGGAGGGATTTACTCAGTTTGTCATTAGCAAGCTCCTAGAGCACCAGTCCTCAGCCGGAGGAGGCTTTGTCAACCCCCGCTGCCCCCCCCCCCAACAGGGGACATCTGACAATGTCTGGAGAAAGTTTCAGTTGTCACAGCTGAGGAGCGGGTGCTACGGGCATTGAGGGACACTCAGATGCTGCTAAGCATCCTACGAGGCACAGGTCAGCCCCAAGGCCAAGGACGCCGTGGCCCAGCATGAGGCTCCCGGAGTAACTGCTTTCCCTGGGAAGCAGCCGGCCCAGGATACACGCAGGACACCCCAGTAGATAACGGGGCTGATGGCCACAGGACAGGCCGAGAAGGAGGTGACAGCGGCCATCTGCCATCGGTGAGGAGCCTGCTTGCCAAGGTGGCGCAGGCTGGGCCAGCTGCCCTGACATGCCGCCCCGCCTCCCCGCTCTGGGACAAGGACATTAGCTTCCCTCTCACGCCCGTGGCAGAGGAAGCCGGCTGTGCCTTTGAGAGGCGGCCGTCACTGGCTGGAAGCTTTGTTTCTGAGTTCCCAGGCTGCGGCTAGGGCCTCCAGGCTCTCGGTGGGGGCCGGCCGGGCCTGGCCACTGGGCACTTCCTCCGCTGGAGTTAGAGGTTCACACACAGCAGTGACGCCAGGGCCGCCCCTGCACAGAACAGTGGCGGCAGCTGTGGTGGCAGCCGTGGTGGTGGTGTTGGGAGAGGCCCGGGCGGGAGCCCTGAGTCCGGCACCAGCACTTCTGATCTCCAGACCTCAGAAATGGAAACAAAGGGGCCTGCCTCTGCCTGTGTCCAGGGGGGCGGCTGTGAGGGGCAGGAGACAGGAGCTGACAGGGTGGGGCTCATCCCACTGAGCACCTGCCTCAAACATGCCACGCCCACCCCCACCTCAGGCCCTTTGCACTAGCTGTTCGCACCAGGGACACTGGATGCTCTTCATCCTGCCCTCCTGCCAGTCTCTGGCTGAATGGCGCCTCCTCCGAGAAGCCTTCCCAGCCAGCCTCCCGCCAGCCTCCAGTCCCTTCCCCCAACTCCCTTGTCTCATAGCCATTATCCCCACCGGACACTTGAGATTACAAAGCCAGTGGCCTGGCCCCTTTGTTGCCCGTCCCCTCTCTGGACACAGAGGCTCTGCAAAGGCAGCTGCACGGCCGACTGCGGTGTCCCGAGAGCCCGATACCCACACGTGCTCAGGAAATAGTGGCTGAACACTGGGAGGGAGAGGGCAGAGCCCCATGGAGAGACATGCTGGGCCTCTGGCTTCAAGGTCAAGTGCTGCCACTGCACACACTGCTCTGCCTGGCCTGGTGAGAAGTGGGCTGGGCTTTGGTGACGAGCTGAGCAGTCAGGAGACTCGGTTCAGCCCTGGAACAAAGCGCCTGGCCACTCTGCCTCCAGTCCAGAGCTTTCCCGGTCCGGCCCTAGCAGGCCGCGTGACTGGCCAGCCGCAGAGTGGACAGTGCAGGTGGGAACACGCCGCTGTCAGCACTGGGAGTGGAATGCAGAGAAGCCAGTGGCCCGACTGCCTTCAGGAGCTTCCAGAACCTTCCTCTCCGAGGCCCGGCCAGTTCTGCCACGTACCCACAGACCTGCAGGGACCTCACACCAGCCTAGTGGGGCGCCTGAGCACGGATGTGAGTGTGAGTGTGCAGCTAATTGGGGGCCGACGTGGGAGCGTGGCCACAGGCACATCTGAGGCCAGGCGGGGAGCCTGGGCTGGAGACACTGCCAGGGAGCACTGGGTGTGCGAACGCCCCTGACCCTTGCATGTGCGTGTGTAACTGCAGTGACCGTAGGAGGCGTGCACGCACAGGCAGACAGCGCTGCAGAACCAGGCAGTTCCCTCACCACGGCGCCCGAACGCTTCAGTCCCTGCACGGCCTCCCCAGCCTCAGGTCCCAAGCAAGCGATTCCTGTACAGTGGCCCACAACACTGCTGTCTCGCTGGGCACTGCGAGAATTACCAGCTTTGGGAAACTAGCTGCTCTTCTTACTGTATGGGGGTGGAGTGCTGAGTGTGATGTGGGCCTGCGTGTGCATGCATGTGTGTGCCCAGCCTGGCTCTCACTGTGTGTGGGTGGGGTGCTGAGTGTGCACACAGAGGACAAGGCACACGTGTGTGCCTGTGTGTGCATGCATGTGTCTGCCCAGCCTGGCTCTCACTGTGTGTGGGTAGGGTGCTGAGTGTGCACACAGAGGACAAGGCACACGTGTGTGCCTGTGTGTGCATGCATGTGTGTGCCCAGCCTGGCTCTCACTGTGTGTGGGTGGAGTACTGAGTGTGCACACAGAGGACGAGGCATACGTGTGTGCCTACGTGTGCATGTACCTGTGTGCACAGCTCAGTTCTCTGTCCTCTAGGGGCACATCCTGAAGTGCTGCCCAGCTCCCAGCAGGCTCAGAGAAGCAGGGCCCAGGAGACCACCTCGCTGGTCACTACAACAT